TAGTAATAATAATAATATGTTTTCTGTTTGAATATGTGCAGATGATTCAACTGTTGTTGTTTTTTTTTTTTTTTTTTTTTTTTTTTTTTTGTTTTTCATTTTTTTTTTTTTTTTTTTTACTTAGAACCTTTCTGTAATTTGCTACTCAGGAAACAGAACCCAGTCCACTGTTTTTCTAATGTAGACCTTCGTCCAGAACTGGCGTAAACTCCTCATTTAAGCATTTAATCAGTATTCAATGAACAGAGGTGAAAAACTTAAGACATAAGGGGGTTTTATTGAAGCATCGACTGACCTCTGTCTGACTTTGTACAACTTTCTGGTTTCAGGTAAGCGTCCTTCACATGTCATAATCTGTCCTCCTACTCTCCACTTGTGTACACACTGATACAGGAATGTTCTGTGCTGGGCTGTTTGGGCTGGCCCAGACAGCGCACGCTCCCCATCCACAACCTCAGCTAGCTTACATACTGTATGTCATCCTTTTAAAAATACATTTAATATTCTCAACACCTCAATCTTTAAACATCTTTCTCCACATTTGATAGGCGAACAGCTCAGCCTACAACCTTTTCCCTTGACTTCCACTTCAATCTGATTGGCTTGTTGAAGATATGTCGTCACCCAACATGGGATTGAATGTTTCACTGAACTTTGTTACTTGGGGAAGCATACTTGTTGTGTTATGGTTACAGAGAGTTGGTTACTGTTTTTTACTGAGCTTTGCTCATTAGGTTAATGACATCTCTGTTTACAAAGTGTCAACAGGAAAAATGAGCCACAGTTTGCCCTCCAGAGTGACGTATCTTTACCCCTGATAATAAACCTCAGAGGACACGCTGGTTCAACACTCTGTAAACACATTTGTTTTCTTTCAGGACACTTTCAGAAGCAGAACTGAATTTGTGTTTGTTGGAAGAACGGGTGGGTGCTTTTTTTTTAGAATTTTACAGAACTTTTCATTTATTTTTTTCCTTTGTTATACACACTGAAGTACATCAGAGCAGCTACAATTTGCTAATTGCAATAAATGACATATAGGACTGGAAAAAAAAATAAATTCTTAGTCTACATGATCAATGCAAGCCTATTCATCTGCAGAGAAAAACATTATTTTTATTAATGAAGTAATAATACCAAAACAAGAGATGAGATAAGATAAATCTTTATTGTCATTGTTGCGCTGGATCAAACACCGCGGTCTACAGACAATGAACAATGAAATAATTTTGCAGCTCCCATAGTGCAAATAAATCAGAACATTAAAAAAGATAAAATAAGAAGGTAAAAATATAATAATAGATAGATAAATCTTTATTGTCA